GTCTGCATGATCAACTCTGTCACCTGTAACATCTCCAAGTTTCTGGCTTCGATCCTCAACCCTGCAGCTGTGAACACCACATCCAGAACACAACAGATTACAGGATGACACCAACCTCAGCAGCAAGACCGCTCTCAGCATCGACCAAGTGTGTTTGAACTGTGTCTTCATTCCACCTACTTCACATACAGGCTCAGTGCTACAGGCAGAAACATGGGTGTGCGATGGGCTCCCAGTTTCACCCATCGTGGCCAATTTGTACATGGAAGAAGTGGAAAAGAGGGCTTTGCTAAACACCCTGGAACACCACCAAGCCATTGGTTCAGATATGTGGATGACACCTGGGTGAAAATCAAATCTCAGGACGTTCCACATTTCATTAACTCGATGGACCGACACATCAAATTCACCAGGGAGGATATGAAACGTGGCAGGTTAGCCTTCTTAGACTGTGACTTCAGCCTTTCCCCTACTGTGAATGGTACTCGTGGTCATTTATCAATCGTCATGACAGTTTGCAAATTACTGATCATGAAAGTGACCTCACAGCCCATCAGTGCTGCCGTTTCAGTCATTACGAAAGTGTATGTAAAGTTGGGGAAACCTGCAGTCAGCTGTAGGATGACGTTCAAAGTTGCTTGAGCTGGTTTGAGTCAGATCCACACGTGACAGCTGCTTTGGTTTGTGGCTCAGAAACTCATCAGGAGTTATTTTTTGCACTGCGACACAGCTCAGTGATTTGTCACTAGACTGTTGTGATGTTTCAAAATCATATCAGTGTTTTGATTGGATAACTTCAGGAGAACCAAGGAAAACATTTTGCTTGCTTTTTGGCAAATACTATATTTACATTTACATACATTATAAATTTCTTTTACACAGCATAATATTATGTACAGCAAATTATTGTAATTATTGTCAGAATGTGATTTCATCTATAAAGAGTTGCTGAAATGAGCATGTGTTCATCAGCTCAGTGAGGGATCACTGTGCTCTAAGCACGCCACTGCAACACTTTGTTGATATGTTGAGATTTATAAGCAACGGCCTAACTTTTAATAAAAAGACCAGCAAATTAGGTATCTGGAATCAATTACTAATGCATTTGTGTTGGAAAAAGGAAAAACAATGCAATTAAGTCTGTTATGGGCTCTTCTCATAATGATGGAATTGAACTGATATGATTGAGGCAACAGTTCAAACCTGAACAGAACTTAAAACAGAAGCAACAGTAATGAAACCCTACAGGGTGCAAGTGTCAGCCAAGTCATTATGAAACCATTAAAAGTTTCCCAGGCTTCCAACTACGAGGTGTCTCAGCAGTCGACACAATCAACCCATCTGTGCACAGCTGGAGACCAAGTTTACACAGTCAAGTACTCTTTGTACCAAAGGCAGGGCTGTGACATGCTTGAGTATAATATTAAACTGCTTGGTGGAAGCTCACAAGAAGCTCATCTGGGGGCCGGTTATACTCCAAACTTGACTAGCACTCAGAGGTTTAGGCAAAGACGTGATACATGGACGAGCCAACACAGGGTGAATTTGCAGGAATGTTAAGGAGGATGAAGCTCCTTAATCTGAAGCTTTTATAACGTGGTAGTTACCAAACAAACAACAGACAATGTTGTGGCTGATCAGTAGAAAACTGCACCACGTATAACAGGCAGGTAACAGGAGCAGGTTCACTGTATCACAAACTGAGTTTCCTTCAGCAACAAGAGCGTGTGCGTTTCCACAGACTCACAATCCACACAATCACTGAGTTTTACAATTATTAAATATTATACAGCATTATTTCAAAGCTGTAGGAGACACAAACCATAACAAATATGAATGTGTGTGTTAGCACAACGTTAACATCTGCATGAGGCAGAAACAGGAGGAAAGATTTCTCAGAGGATGTAAAGAAAGCTGGAGAGAAAAACAAAGCCAGACACGCATCGGTGTGCGTGACTCTTCAGGCTTCCTGAGAGCCGTGCAAAGAGCCAGTCAACATACATGTAAAGACATTACTTTGTCAGCATAGTTGACTTTAACCAGTTAGATTGCCCTAAATTTAAAGACCAAAGGAGAACAATTAACTGCTGTGTTGTTGGGAAGAAGGTCGCAGAGCTTTGTGCGTTCTCATTGGCTGCTTTGACAACCTGTTATCTTCTGCTGCACGTCTGCTGACTCTGGTTTTAACGCGACCTG